AAACATTTATAAATAAACTTCTGACTGGTTGACCATCATGGCTGCCAAAGGTTAAAAAAAAAAAAAAAAAAAAAAAAAATTATAAGTTGTGTATAGTTATTACTATTTTATATATTTACTATAGTATATATTTATAGGTAGAAGCTGCTTATTTAAATGTCATAATAATATAAATAATATTGGGTTTTATTTACATTTCAAACTAAAGAACAGAAAGAATTAATGAACATTGTAAAAGTACTGTGTCTAGATGGCACTTACAAGATAAATCATCATGGTTTTTACCTTTTACAATTATTATGTATCATTCAATAAAAGAAAGTAATTATCCTATTACATTCTTAATAAGTTAATTCAAAAAATCATTGATATTGAAAAGATGGTTAGATTTTTTAAAAAGTGAAAATGAAAAATTAAACTCAGATATATTTATAGTTAATGATACTAAAGAGAAGATAAAGGCAATTGGAAAAAGTTTTTTAAACAGTTCTGTTTTTTTATGTCATTTTCATGTATTTCATTCCTGGCATAGAAGATTAGATCATAAGCATGATGCAAATGTTAATCCAAATAAGTTAATTGTTTGCAAGATTTGTGGAAACTATTGAGAACAAAGGAATAAAACAATGCAGAAGCACAGTATCAAGTTACGATAGCAATTAGTAAGTAGTAGAAAATAGGTAACAAAATAATAAATAAATTTGTATAGTACTTTGAACACTGGTAGAAACCCAAATATAACATGTGAATAATATATATTAGAGGATTTTCATGTAACAGAATAGATATGAATAATTTAATTGAGACTTTTCATCACAAATTAAAGTATATGTATATAAGAGGATGTTCAGGATGCTGATTAGATGGTAAGGTTTATCTACTTGTAAAGATTGTTCTGCAGGACATAAATTATTTAGTTCTTTTAAATAAGTTAAAAATTGATCATATGAACTCACAACAATATCAACAATATCTTCAAAAAATTGCTAAAATAAAGCATATAAATAAAAATGATATTTACAAAATTCAATCAGATGTTTGGTTGGTTTATTCTACAATGAATAATAAAAGTAAATACTCTGTCTGTAAAAAAAATTTAATAAAGAATAAAAATAATTTAGACATTACATTGTATATTTGTAAATGTTTAGATTTCAAAAAATGTCAGCTAGCTTGTAAACATATCTTTTTTGTGTGGGCTCAACTTAGTATTAATGTTAATAGTATAAATGACAATAAATATGATCAGCAAATTTTTTTTTTTACATTAATAAATATAATAATTATTTCACAAATTCTTTTTTTTTAATAGTAAATGCTGAAATCTATAATAAAAATATTGAAATCTTAAAATTACAAGAAGATTTTGTCTCAATTATCATAAAATAGAAAGAAAGAAAAGCACAAAATATTTGAAGTTTTTGCAAGGCTTTTTAACAAACTGCTCAAATTGAAAGAGTGAGAATCACTAGAATTGAAGCTATTCTACAAGTTAATGAACAGAGAATCTCTCAAATTGCATTGAATATAAAGATTAAAAAACAAAATAAATTTTAATTTTTTATTTTTATCTATATATATAAATTTTATGGATTTTGCATTTATGTACTTGATGGTAATCAACTAAAATTGACTAATTTAATAATATTTACTATTACTAGATCTTGGAGCTATAAGAAAATAATTAAAATCAATGTTATACAATAATTTGACAATTATTTGAGATTATGAAATGTCAGAAATTTGTATTATATACGACACTAAAGTCTTGTAGTATAATAACTCAAATTAGTTTCACTGTTAGTAATATAGACACATATGTGTCTGAAAAACTTTTTATTAATAATTTAATTGTTACAAATATAAAATACCATATAAGCTAAATAATAGAATATATATAGTATAAATAAAAAGAAAGAATATTTACTATGTGAATTATTAAAATTATTAATTATAATAATTAATATAAGAAATATTTGAACTTTTTTAGAATTAACTTTATGAATTGTTTAAAAAAAAAATTTGAATATTCGTTGAACAGCAGAAATCTTAAATATCTTTAGACAATTTAGCTCCAAAAGATAAAGATAACACTTGGTAATCAAAGCAAGTATAACTTTCAGGATTAGCAGTCTTCTTTTATTATATTATGATTTCTATTGAGTATTTACTCACTATCTGATTTCATAAATGAACATGAATATTTCATTTTTTATAATGCAGCTAATGGCCAAAAGCTATTCATAGTGTACTAACTGCTTATACTATAATATAAATTATACAAATTAACAAAACACTAGACATATGCTTAAGGTAATAGTATTAATAAACTCTGAATTGAAGATAATACAAATTAAACTGATTTTTTTGTATCAGTTATCTTAAATTTATATTGCTGATTTGACATTGGGATGCTAGTACCCTAGCCATGGCAGATCATGTATTGTAGATCACAATTCTTATTGGACAACAATTATTTTTATTCTTTTTTGACTAAAGATATCTAGTAACTATCCACTTGACCAATATTGCCAAACTTTTTTAACTTTAATTCTACAGTTCTGTAGAATTGAGATAAAAAATTTTTTATCAAAATTAGTTAAATGGGTGTTAAGATATCTTTGATCAAACTTTTAAAAAAACTTTTCTGTAGCTTCTGTCTCAATATTTTCAGAAACTTTAATTGAATGTATCTTAGCACCCACCTAACTAATTTCTATAAAATTTTTTTTTAATTTTACAGAACAGTAGGGTTAAAATAAAAAAAAATTTTATTGAAATTAGTCAAATGTGCATTGAGATATCTTCAATCAAAGTTTCTGAAAATTTCAAGTTAGAAACTGTGACAAAGTTTTTTTAAAACTTTGATCGAATATATTTTGGCATCCACCTGACCAATTTTGGTAAAAAAATTTTTTTTTTTAATTCTACAGAACTGTAAAATTAAAATAAATCAAAATTTATTAAAATTGGTCAGACAAGTGCTAAGATATTTTTGATTAAAGTTTTAAAAAAACTTCATCATAGTTTCTAACTTGAAATTTTCAGAAACTTTAATCAAATATATATTGGCACCCACCTGACCAATTTTACTAATTTTTTTTTCTTTTAATTCTACAGCTTTGTAGAATTAAAATAAAATATTTTTATCAAAATTAGGTTAGTGGGTGTCAGGATATCTTTGATCAAAGTTTAAAAAAAACTTTGCTATAGCTTCTATCTAATACTCAAACTTGATTGAATATATTTTAACACCCACTTGACCAATTTCGATAAATTTTTTTTTAATTCTATAGTTCTGTAAAATTAAAATAAAATATTTTTATTGAAATTAGTTTGGTAAGTGTCAGAATATCTTCAATTAAGTTTCTAAGTATTAGATAGAAGCCACAACAAAGTTTTTTTTAAACTTTAGTCGAAGATATCTTAACATCTACTAAACTAATTTTGATAAAAATATTTTATTTTAATTCTACAGAACTGTAGAATTAAAAAAAAAAATTAACAAAATTGGTCAGATGGGTGCCAAGATATATTCAATCAAAGTTTCTGAAAATTTCAAGTTAGAAACTGCAATGAAGTTTTTTTAAAACTTTGATTGAACATATATTGGCATCCACCTGACCAATTTCGATAAATTTTTTTTTTTATTAATTCTACAGTTCTGTAGAATTAAAATAAAATATTTTTATCAAAATTAGTTTGGTAGATGTCAAGATATCTTTGATCAAAGTTTTAAAATAACTTTGCTGCAGCTTCTATCTAATACTCAGAAACTTTGATCAAATATATCTTGGCACCCATCTGACCAATTTCATTATTTTTTTTTTAAATTTAAAGTTCTGTAGAATAGACATACTTTTTTATCGATATTGGTCAGGTGGGTGTAGTGATAGAAAAAATGTGCATTTTGTAATATCATGCGCATGATAAAAAAAGACAAAAAAAAGTAAAAATGATCGAAAGAAGAGAAGTCTTGATAGGATAAAATGTGCATGATTTCACAATCATGTGCACACATGAAGCCCATCTCTAGGTGGGTGCCAGAGTGTTTTTGATTAAAGTTTTAAAATGCTTTACTGTAGCTTCTATCTATTAATAGACCAATTTAATTCAGTAATTTACATAATCATACCTAAAGTTTATGCATATCAATTAAAAATTTACTATTTTATTTTTTTCCAATCTATTTTTAGTTAGTATCACTTAAGTATAACCTTTTTTTTCTTTTTAGTTCATATTTGGTTAGCATCACTATCCAGTCGAATTTATTTATAATGACCCAAAATTGAATTTGAAAACAAGAAATAATTATATATATGTAGTTAAATGTTAGAAGCATTATTGATTGACTTATATGGTCATTTAGAATAGTTTATTGATAATATGTTTAGAGAGAATGTATCACAACAGAGCTTGTAAATTAACTTTTGCCTGAGAAATAGTCACAAAACATAAAATATAGACTATTGAAAAATGTATATAAAGTGTATTATTTTGACCTAAATAAAAATTTAAATACAATCATCTTAATACATAATTTTCACTTGTATTTGTCTTTATCAAATTATCACATCTCAAATCTTTGAGCTGATTACATTATCGAATTTGTAAATTAAACAATTACATTAATTAATAAATCATGAAAATAAGTGAACATACTCAAGAACTTACTAAAAAGATGTGCAGTTGTTGCTATTGCAACAAAACAATTAATCAGTTTTTTTGAAATTTTGTAGATAACGATATATGCAACAACTGTGCTAAAAAGAAAAAAAGTAAACAGCAAGAAAATCCAGTAGTATTAAAAAAAACAAAACAAAAAATAATCAAAATTGCTTCTAATGATCTTGGCCTAACTACTTCAACCAGTTCTGATATAGTCATTTCAAATAACTTTAACATCATTATTGACAATTTCAGTAATACTTTATTTGACAACTCTGTTACTATTGCTTCTGATGTTTCTAATATCATCACAGACAATTTTGGCAATATCATTTCTAGTAGTAGCATTTATAATAAAAGCAAGCAAAACATTCAAAGTGATAATAATTCAGAGATGATGATGTATGATCTGGATGAAGTGCATGAAATCATTGCCAAAGAGTTTGAAGAAACTAAAATATTCAATGATTCTGTAAATTTTGCCTTTGAAGTCGAATTAAGTCAAGACCTTCTTGCTGAATTCTTATTAGATTAACAAAACTTAGCTAGCACAACTGATTTAAAAATAATTAAAATAAGATTTGGGAATCTCGCATCTTTACTTACTATACCACTTGAATCCAGATCAGGTTATTATTAGGAAATTCAAAAAATACATCTAAATAGTAAAAAGAAAACATTTTCTGGTTCAGCTACAGCATATCTTGGTTGTACAATGTGGGATAATCAAGCATGGAAAAGACCAGATAACCAGCTACTTAAAAGACAAAATGAAGCCCAAGCTCCTATTGAAAGATATGAATGTGCAAGAAATATTAAAATTACTATAATTGTAAAGAAGCAGTATACTATTATCTAGGAAATTCATCAAGTAGCATATGAAAAGCTGAAGTATCATCAAGTAGAATTTTCTATTAAAGCAAAAGAATGAATTAAAAATAATGCATTACTTTATAATTTAAGAACTACAGAGGTTTATTAGTGACTTTGTAAAAGTAAACTTATAATTCCAAATATTTATATAACTGAGCAAGTATATTATTGAGTATCAAAATATAGTAAAAAAACCTATATAATGAACTCAGATAATTCACTTGCATTAGCAATGCAGTATCTTGAGCAACCTGAATTTAAGAAAAGAGGATTTAAAGTTCTTACTTACTTAGAAAATAATTTTGTACAGACTCTAAGATTTTTAACTCCACTGCTTAAACATGTAGGCACTGAAAATGCAACTAAAATTGTTATAGATTCCACATTTAAAACAAATCAAGAATGTTTTGAACTATTTGCAGTAAATCTTAACTATGATAAATATGATATGCCTATAGCATATCTGTATCTTTCCATGTTAAATAGTAGTGAAAAAGTCTGAAATAGTCAAAATAATCTTATAAAAACACAGGTCGAAGTGTTACAGATATTTTTTATTAGTCTTCAGCAAAAGGAATTACAACTAGTGTTTATTTTAACAAACAAGAATGCAGGTGAGATAACTTCAATTGAAGAGGCTTGGTCATTAATACCCAATATCCAACTTTGTTATTGGCATCTTGAACATGCTATTGATAGAAAAATCAAAGACAAAAAACATCAATCAAACACATATTCGATGACTAAAGCATTAAAGCTCATCACAAATTTGATTTTATCGATTCTTCATGGATTCAAGGTGGAGTCAGACCTATTTGCTTAGATTAATATGCTAAACAAGTTCGAGAAATGGTTAAAAAACATGCAAATATGCACCTGCTTATCCCAATACTTAAAGGAACTTATATTAGCTCAAAAGAAATCTACCAACTATATGTTCAAGAGGCATATCAATTTTGTCATTCAAATAACCTAGTTAAATTGTAGGGTTATTTATAGATAAACTGATATAATAAAAAAGATTAGAATTTATTTGCTCGATTTTTATACTCATTTGCTATGCCTTTTACACATACTACAATGATTACAAAAAACCACTAAAGAGTTCTCAAATACAAGTATAAATATAATTACAATTATTTATGTATAAACCAGCTTACCCAAATTATAACAAAACAGCTAATTCCTGACACTGAAATTAAACTAGCTCTGCATGATAAAAATTGAACATTTCCATTATGATGACATGATTTTAAAAAAAAATAAGATAAAGCAGCAGCAGCAGATATTTCGCCAAGTTCAGAAGATAATTATAAAATTGATACAAGCAAGTGAGTATGTTCTTGTCTAGCTTACTTATACAACTGCTATTATATTTGCAAGCATCTTGTTAATAAAATGAACAAAAAACAATTCCTTACTGTATTTTCGGAGACAAAAAGACAACATGATTATCTATTACTCACCTTTGGCAAAAACACAATTCCATCTATTACTTTTGTAAATAACTCTTGGATTTGACTTGACATGATAGAGATGGTAACCAATCATGTTGAGCAAGGTAGTTCTAGTTCTAACTTTAGTTCTAGTTCATGGTTAAGTCATTTAAATAACTTACGAAATTTGGTTGAGGATACAAATTATGATATAATAAGAAAAAAAAAAGAAAAGCTTGAATATTACAAACAAAAATTTGGTGTTGTGTTAGTTTTGTATGAACAGGAGATAGATAACTATAATTTTATAAATAATTTTAATACTTTGGTGGCACTGTTTGTAAATGAAATAAATAAATGTAAAGAAATATTACGAGCTCGCCACCAACAAAATACTTGGACATTGAATGAGAAACTTGCATTTTGGTTGTGTTGATTAGGCATTAATTATGTATAGATTTGTAGAAAAAAAAAGTATTTAAATTAGTGTTGTAAAATGTTTATACATATATATTAATAAAGAATTTTTATTAGCGTTAGTATTGTAAAATACCGATATCGATATTAAAAAATTATCTACTCTATTTTTTTATTGGTCAATTAAGATCATCTGAATGACGTCCAATAGGAATTGTGATCTACAACACATGATCTGCCAATTTTTCGCCATGGCTAGGGTACTATTGGGATGCATAGTTACATAATCAATTTTGTCCAATCAGTGATAGGAAGATCATCACCCAATTAGATGGTGGGAGATAAATTAGTAAAATCGTGATTCGTATTATCCGGATTTAACAGATCACACTAATCTACATAGCGATAGATTAAATAGATTTAATAGATTGACCGGGATACCCTTATGTCAAGAAAATCCGACCCTATCCGGATCCAATAAAATCACAGGATATTGTGTAACAAAACAAACGCAAAAACATAAAAAATTGTAATAAAACATAAACAACACAAAGGTTTACTATGATAACTAACTTCGACCTCTAAGTAAAAGTTTTCAGAATGAAAATTTACTCATAGGACACGACTATTGATATAGGGAATTTTTGAGATACTATGACCCATATTTTTTGGCCGGCAGCTCGGGATTTTCTTGACATAAGGATACTCTGCAACTATGAGTTGGCATATTTACTTTGATGAAATCAACGAAGAAGATTGGAATGTCTTTGACTTTTATAAAGCTTGAATCTACACTAATAAAGATCCTTTTGATAAAGCTACAAAGAATTTCTTTAAAAGCCTTTGTACAATTTCCAATCAATCACTAATGCTAGTAAAGTTAGAAAAGTTAACAGTTTACTAGATGATATTAAGATGAGTATTGTCATTATTATATTGATCTGTAATACTGTGTACTGTAACAAGGTAAGGGCCTCTATATGAAATAACTTCATCTGCAACAGGAAGGTGGCTGTTAGCTGTTCTTCTATGGCTGTTAGCTCATTGTAGTCTGCTAGCTTTTGCTAGAGAGTAGAGCTCTTATTGTCTGTTAGCTAAACCATGACTAGGAGGATGGCTGTTAGCTAAACACTCTGATGGTTGTTAGGTTGTTATGGCTTGTTATAGTATACTATTGGAAAGGTGCAAAAAAACTTTTTTTTGTGAATCTATTTAACAGGTCTTTTTCATTTTCTAAGGACAATCATGTAGAATTATGTAACTTCTGGTACGATACAAAAAAGGCGATAGATTTTTATCGGATAGAGCAGGAAAACACATATTTAGAGCTTCAAAAGGTAATACTTCAAAGTTAGCTGTATGGACACTGAACGAAATGATTACAATTATATTTGTAATGAATATAGATTAATAGCATTATTCAAGCTGTAAAATACATTCAATGCTATGCTGATGCTCTAAGTAATAGTGCAATTGTAAACTTGGAATTTGTGTCCAAACCTATTCATATAACAATTTTACTTTCAATTCAAAACTAAATTGTTAATCGTGGTAACAGTGCAATTGTTTTCAAAGCTATAGATAAATGTACCAAAAAAGCTTTTGCGATTAAAAGATCCATTCCGCATACTTTATGCAGAAAATATTTTTTCATAACAAAATTGAAATCATGAAAAATATAATTCTACATTTGAATTGCGTTAGATTATTTAAACACTAGGAACATGACAATCATATCTACTTACAAATTGAATTGTGATGGTAAACTTTCGGATCTTATAGATAAAAAAACTATATCTAGTAATGGGAAAAATGCGCACAAAATGTTTCATGCACATGATATCGCATGATAAAAAAAAGGCAAAAAAAAGAAAAAATGTTCGAGAGGAGAAAAATCTTGATGTGCATGTTTCCGCAATCATGTGCATGCATGAAACCCATCTCTAATTTTGCTCGATATTGATTTCAAAATCACATATATTCACAAACAGAATATTGTTCATTTAGATCTAAAGCCTGAAAATATTTTGATTTTAAAGGATAAATATAAAATCGGAGACTTTGGATTAGCATTGGAGTTGTCTACTGATACTGAAGATCCTGGATTACATATAGGAAATAGAAAATATATCGCTCTGAAAGTCTTGGAAGATAATATCTTTAGTAAATCCGCTGATATTTTTAGTTTTGGAACCATAATTTTACAAAGTATTGGTGACAGAGATCTTCCAACTCGAGGGAAACATTGGTTGGAATCACATTATGGAAACTTGACACAATTTTCATCTAAGGATTCGCAAGACTTAATTATTTTGGTAAAAAACTTGATTCAAAAAAAAATTTAAAAAAGACAAACTATCAAAGAAATTGTAGAAAAATCACAAGTTAATTAGTATCTATTATCCTACTATTTCTATTTCCATCAACGGTTGCGATTTCAAGTCTTAATGTATTATTATAATTACCATAAGTAATTCTCTAGAATTGTATGAGTATATAAATTAATATAACTACCATTTATACTAACTCTCTTTTCATTATAATGATTTTTTTTTATAATCAGCATTTGAAAGTCAAATTATAAAAGGCCGAAGTAATACAACCGTGTCCACCATCTTTGGTGTATTTTATATTCGTAGACCGATCTTGGTCCGAAATCTCGAATAAATGCTTTATCTTAGAAAAATTAGTTTCAGAAATTTAATTTCAATTCTTTAATTGAGGCACGATGATACTGACCAATACGAATTTTACAAAGTCGAACTATCTCATTTACTATTATATAAAAGATATCATTATTCATTAAAAACTATAAAAGATTCAAATTTTTAAATCATGATATTTAACTTACTCTTTCAAAGAAAAAAGAATTGTTAATGATATTTTATATATTTTTTTACACGCTTTCTAAATTTAAATTCATATCAGATAACAGATTCTATTTGAATTATCAAAATATTATAACATCTTATGACTACCATTGTTGTTAATTTTTACTATATGAAAAATTTTTTATTTAATATAGATAATAATATTTGCATTGAAAATATTATAAAATCAATAGACAAATGGGTATATTGACATTCACAAAAAATTTTTGTAAAATTTTTTTATATTATAACAATGGGTAAATATTATCTAAACAATTGTAATTCTTTTTTAAGAACATCAAACGCTTGAAAATTTTAGGACTTATGCGTGTTCTCTTAGGATCCAATAAATTACCATAATCAGAGAAGAATCGTTCAGAAGGTGTGGATGTAGCTGAGACTGAAAGGTAAACACGTGTTAACTTACTGATGACAGGAAACTTTTGTTTGTTCATATTTCACCACATGAAGTTCTTATCCGTACAATTAATATGCAATCTAAGACGTTTCTACCTGTAGAATTTTCTGATCCAGCTGAATTAAACTTATTGGAAGTCACTTAACAGCATTTACACGTGATTCAAATTTCCTAGTGTAATTACAATAAACTAAATTTTTGAATTAAAATATGAAGAAAGCAAAATTGTACTATGACTTAAATCTAAATCAGACTGAAGTAATTATAAAATATATTAAATGTAATAAGAGAACTTAAAACACCAAGATAAATTACAAATTTACAGTTATTCTTTAAGAGCCTGCTAAAAATTTTAAAAGTCGAGCAAAGCAAACTTTGCACTAGTATCAGAAAATATCATGTGAGATGCATTTTTTTAACTTTTTGTTAGGATTTAGGGTTAGTTTTGATAATATAAGAGTATAAGTAATTTTATTATGTTTCATTATAATTTGTAACTATAATTGAATAGTTGCTGATTTAATTGTATATATTCAGAATGTTTTGTGATACTTTAGCTGGTAAAAATTAATGAAAAAAATAGAAAAGAAATTGTATTATCTCTTAAACCATTTCTCATCTGAAATTTTTTTTAAAAATCTTATTTTTAAAATAAAATTTGAAATTGTGATTTTAGATATATACTTTATAAGTAAAAAATATATTTTAAATTATATTTTAATAAGTTTATTAAATTTTTTTTAAATCTTTTAAGAAATTTAAGGATAATAAAAGTTTAAGAAAATTTCTAAAAATATCTATAAGTTATAATACCTAGTATAAGAAAAATATTTAACATATTAGGTTAGAGTAAGTTAAGATAATTTAAAGGTGTATTTATTAGTAAAATTAGGTGCTAAACATTTTTACTTAAAGCATCTACACCAGTTTTCTTAATAAAAATTTTAAAATATTAATGATTTTTTGTTTTTTTCTTATACCCAAATATGTATCTATCAGGTACAAATAGAAATTCTCAAAGTTTAAACTTGTTATTTTGAATTTTTGATTCTAAAATTTTTCTTTAAATTTTTCAAATTTTATATGTTTTTGTCTATAACAAAATTTTTTACTTTTAATATAAGTTTTAATTTTTATAAGTAAATCACAGAAGTTATGATAATGAATATTATTATTCTTTATTTAAACAAGAATTTTTATTAAAAAATTATAGATTTAAAATTAATATTTAAAGAGTTTATCAAAAAAATATAAATTATTTTTTTTAGTCAAAAATTTTTTAAAATTTGCACATTTTTGGCTTATAAGCAAGATAAATTTTTTATCTTATAATTTAAATATAAATTTTATAAAAATATAATCTTTGTTTTTAAATATTACCAAAAAAAAATTTTACTTAAATATATCTATTTTTTAAAAAAATAGATCAGAAGTATTTTTATAATAAAATTCAAGACAAATTTGCCCTGAATTTCAAACAGTTTGAGATACTGACATGCTATTTGCTAAATAGCATACCAAATTATTTTAGGTTTGCTGGATTCTCTCATTATAACAGAGTGATTATCTAGAACATTTTAAAATTTTTATTATTATATTATAGCAGATAGTATATAAATTTTGGTAAGGTTTATTATTTCTGTTTCCTATCACGTATCTGACACATGACATATCTATATTGGAACCTATGTAATTTAGGTTCAGAATAAACATCAAATTTTGTTAATATATATAGCCAATATAGCATAGCAAAAGTTCGTTTTTATTGGCTAAAATTAGAATAAATTTGATTGGTAACAATTTTTTTTTTATATTGTTAACGGTAATTTTTAAAGTACCCTAATAAGAAAAAATCAGTATGATATATAAAAAATTTTTTTTGTAATATGTGAAGATTTCAACTAACTTAACGTGCTATTTTTTTACCTTTAAGTCTACAGTTTTCTAACAACTGATGCAATAGAATGCAGAAGTTTGAGAAACTAGATGAGAAGTAAATATTTTGAAAGGTCAGAAGGTAGTCCGACATAGTAAGTAAAGGTTATGTGAAATTCTACCTCAACTACTGTAACTTTTAAAGTCTTTACGTTAGTACTTGTATAAAAGTATTATTCTAAATCACACTCAAATTTCTGTTTGTATCTATTTAGATCATAAGCATTGGTTATAAAGTATGGACGTTTAGCCATACTATTTCTAATAAAATTAATAATGAGTTTATTTGTACTAGTTAATATATTATACTTGAAATCTAAAAGTATTATTACGAAACAAATAAAGTGAATATGAAGTATATATCACAAAATCAAAAGCATCTACTGTTATGCCAATAAAATATATTATGAAATATGGCAAAACCCAAAGTCTACGATATATTGTAAAGTTCAAACTAAATAATTACATCTAATATTAAAGAGAGTTTTAATTAAAATTAGAATAAAAATAAAAACCAATAAAAATCTAAACTAGAGAAAAAATGTATAATATAAAAGAAATTTAAATTAGAATCGCATTTATAGTGTTCTTTTAGAGCATTTTATTATTAATTATTGGGATATAATCAAAACATTATCCAGAATATGATATGATCCGAGGTATGATCGACATCCTTTCCGGAGTATTTTATCAACCAATCAAAACGAACTTCTGCTATGCTTATGAATATATCTTATATAACATGATAAACCTAGTGTATATTTCGCATATCATATGACTCGCGCGAATGTGAGATAACAAGTTGAAATTTTGAATTTCGCAAATTATAAACTTTAACGATAACTTCTTTTTTTTTTTTAAAAAAAAAAAGGAATTTAGTTCAATTATCTTTATCAAAAAAAAAAAGAAATTGTATTTATTATTGACTACTTGGATTTTTTTTATTAAAAATTTATTTCGCGCGAAATATACACTGGTGATCATAACATATTCGTATGAGGATGATACCAGCATTTCGCGGCACTTAAAAATTATACAAATTCCAAAAGCCAATAACTTATCTAAAATACAATGAAAAAAACATATTTACCCAATAATTTATCTAAAATACAATGAAAAAAACATATTTACCCAATAACCTATCTAAAATACAATAAAAAAAGAGCTGTTAATTCGTAGTCAAGCCTATTTACTGTAACATGGCAGCTTTATTTTTTGACATGATTAAATTCAATAGAGAATTTCCATTGAAATTTGTGTGGTAGCGATAACATATTCTCGCTGACCTAAAATAAGTTTAATAAATGCATCTTTAGTAATTTTTAATAAATTAGACAAATAGAAACTATTGTCCGAAGCCAAATGCAGTTCCTCTGCTTCCTCCGAACAATGAGAAACTAAAAATTATACTATCATCTTGTGCTAAAAAGCGTATTGCAGAGATTTCTGTCTATGTGCATCCACCCAAAAGAATACAAGTGTGACACGTGGATGCTGTCCTTGTACCATTCCTAATCCGATAAAAATTAGACTACGGTATATTTATAAATCAAATATGGGGACACCCACAGCAAAAGCAGGGGATGGGACTATGTAATATATAGTCCCATCCCATGCATCCCCATATGGTGCGTACTTACTTTTGGGACGTATGCTCCTTCCTCTTTCCTCTGTACTTCATCGAAAGTTTTACCTGGGCAACATCTAAACATCTCTTCATATCCCTTCCATCCATTACCAGTCGAAGATGATCCACTCTTGGTCGTCGCGTATTGCATCAAACGTACGCTTAAAGGAGCATATCCAGAATATACATATGCTATATCCTGAGGATTATGTTCTTCAACTTAATCCACAATTAATCGCAAAGTTTTACGAATAGAAGCATATGGATTGCGACTAGACGATTGTTTAGAGAACATGTTAAGACGTTCAAGATTCAGTAACGTATGAAGGTGCTCGAACCCGTGTGTCTATATTAGTACAATGATAATAACTGTCATTTATTTAATGATTAAAAATGGAAAATTTTGTTTGGCTATACCTGTAGTATTTATTTTTTGACAAATTCGATACTCTTTTGCTTCAATCCACCATTTACAAGACTTTGTAGACATAATAATCGTAAAAATTGAGTAAGTGGAACCTGTCGATTGATCATTTCCTCTATGTGTTCATTTTGTATGTTAACATCTATACCAGCTACCAAATCTATAAAAATAATGGCAATTAAAATCATTAAAATCCTAAAATCAATTGCAAAATGATAGTAATAAGGAACGTGAATTAAATAAATATGTAAATACCTCTAGGGCTTGTTGAATTATGGTGTAACAGTGTGCGCCATTATCTCTTCAGCTATCCAGTATCTGATTATTTGTTAGGGAAAATATTATAAAGAAGTATACGAAAATTTAAATACTAAACTCGTAAAAAAAGGATACGAATTTTTAAAGATTGATGTTCTAATTGTAGGCTTCCCAATTTATTGATGAATTCACGAATTTGTACTACAGTTTTAGCTTTATGTCTTTCCTATAAATATACAAAATGAATACATAATTGTTATTAAAAAGTTCATTAATTGATAACACAAAATACATAAACATAAAATAAACCTCATAATCTTCGTTTATTCTTTTAGTAACTCTGTTAAGAATACTGCAAAATTTATATCTCTTAATTGGGAAATAATTTATCGCCAGAATTGAGAGCAAATTTTTTTTGTTTTTTTTTGACTGAGGTTGAATAGGTGGTTGTGAGTGCTAGTAGTTGTAGACGTTACTGTAGTTGCTTGCGCAGGTCCCACGATCGAAGAATCCACTTCCACATGTGAAGCTTTGATACAAAATATAATCCTTCATAGGTCAATTGAGTACATAAAGGTGTTATGAGGTCAACCGATCTATCGATGATGATAAGTGGATCTACACTTTGAGAGATCGATAATGAAGATGATGGATCATCTACAGCAACCTCACGACGCATATGAATGAGCATATCAGCAAGATGCTAAATCAAAGAGAATATTTATAACTATTTAGTAGATCAATAGCTAGATTCATATATAATAATTCAAACCTTGGCACAATCTCCCTTGCCTATTTTTCTTGGAAATAGGCCAAAAGACGTCTGTAATTTCATGAGCGCTCTCGCAACGTAATAAATTGAAGTATAATCATCATCCTTTTTATTTCCATGTAAAAATAATTATTAAATTTGAATGACATTAGCCATGTTAAAATTGATTAGAGTTAAAACAAGGGATACCAAATAAATATCTTTAAATGTGTTATCTAATTTCAAGGATAATAATTCATCTTCAAAAGGTATTAGATTTAGGTGATATTCGTTAATTGTGATCTGTAAAATCATTAGTCAAGGATAATTCATAAAATTCATAATATCAAGGATATCACCAAAGACCCCAGCTTCTTATAAAACTTTTTGACAGATCATTGTTCGACGTGGGACAAAAGGAGGGCATATTCATACTTTTCAGCATTGGGATTCTCTACGTATTCATTTTGGTGATGCTGGATGATGTTCTGGAAAGCGGCCAAAGTATCACAAATTTAATATTTTAATCAATTAACGAAAGCTGAACGTGAAATTTCATTTATACCGGCTATATATTTCATCTAAAGTATTTGTGGTCTGCAAATATAAATCAAGCTTCGGATTTCGGTTTCAAGTGCCCTTGTTGAAGATAATGGACTTTTTCAACACCATGTTCCTTAGATAAATAGTTAAATCACGCATCGTTATTTCATTCACTGCTCTAATTCACTGATTCTGATCAAAATCAATTTATAAATACCCTCAAAAGTGAAAATTTTGCAATAAGACTCAAAGGTCCACTTATGTTGGGATCCAAAACAGGCATTTTTCCCCCTCACCTACTTGTAATAAATTATGGACATATTGCCTTTTACTTTTTAATTTACACGAACGTGGTTCAGTAGAAAAGAAATAATTCTATAATGAATTACGGGTTGAACTTTTCTACCTAACAACGTTAAGCATTAATGTTTTACACAAGTAAAAGAATGCATACAGAATCAAGCACATTCTTTAAATCCTCTCTTGTCAGAGTTGTAAAGAACAATCAAAATTATTGTCACGGATGATGCAGATTCGATATCGATATTGATATTCGATTATTTTTAAATATATAAACTTTTATAAATTTTTTTGCGAAACAAAATACTAACTTTACATGGCCTAATCTTCATTGAAACATTATGGTACAGGTAAAAAAAACATCCAACAAATTTTTAAAAATTTTTGTTAATAGACCCAAACTTTCATTGTATTCATAGACGACTGTACAATATTATATCGATACACCTAAATAATACAATCAAGAAAAGGCAAATAGCTTAAATCAATGAGCCATTTTGACAAATGGCATATATATAATTACTTGGACAATTATACAAGCGGTGCCGTTTACTTCACCGACAATCGACATCACATAGGGTTAGGATTAGCATTTTATTAGTCGCTGGTATATATTTTTAGTAAATTGTCACTTGGCGTGATGTCGGCAAAATAAGCTGTCAGTGATCCAAAACAAGTAATAAGAATATATTGGACAGTTAGAACTAATCTGGGCTAGCCCATAAATTGTCCAAAAACCATTATTGAACTAAGCTGTCAAAATTTATAGCGAGACTTATAGATAGTTCTATGAGATCGGAGATTCAGATTTAATGTATGTCAGCAAATGTATCAATATACAAAAAAAAAAAATCCAAATACACTTTTAAAATTTATTGTCGATTTCAAGAAACTTTGTTCAACTGCTTTTTTTATTAATTTTTATTAATAGGTTTTAGTTATACGTACAAATTTATACATTTAATAAAAATTTTGAAAAAAAATACATCTAAAATATTTCTTTATTTACATCACTATATTTAGTCCACATGTTTTCTTCTAAATATTACCGGTTTGAAATTACACACGCAATTTAGGATACTCAGTTTCAGCTAAAAAAAAAAAAATTTAGCTTACTTGTCCCAGTCACCATGTAGAGGTGTATCCATGACTAGGTTTATAACAACCTGGAGTTGTATCCAATAATGGATGTAAGCATAAGTGAATAGTAAATACTCACTCAAGAAAAGCTCAAAAGAGTGAAGGGGATTAAAAAAATACATGTCAACATTAAATATAGAAGTAACAGAAAATATTATACAAAAACCTGGAAAGCTTTGTAGATATAAAGACAAAAAAAAAGATATCCTAAAAAAATATGTTGTTCTAGCCTTGGGAGTATGATAAAACTCTGAATTGCTTTTTCATTTTACCATTCTGATTCAGCAGATCAGTCATAACCTAAGCCCAATCATCATATTACCCTACAGCTAAAACCCTACAAAAAAAAGCAAAGCTTTCCATGTTTCTGTGGGTTAGTAATATTTTCTACTACTAACTATAGATAATGGAATAATACATAATATCAAAAAAAAAAAAAATGAAAAAAACGATTGTGTATGAAAATTATTTGAATCATGATATTTAATCAATCGAATTAGATGTAACATGAAAATCAAGATTTTTGTTTTTTCTTTGAAAATAAAACTGCAAAATTTTGGCTATGAAATTGTCTTCTGCATTCTCACAAAAAAAATTTTTTGCAAAATTTTGATATATTATATGTTCTTCTTTAGTTTCAATCCTAACTCTAAAGACATTAATTATTAATTTAAATATTTTTGCTTAATTGATTTTAAGTTATAAATTTTTATCATGTAAAGAATATCACATGTTAATTAACCAATAAAATCATAAAATTTTATAAAGTTAAAAAGACTGATATTTAATTAAAATTTAAAGTTCAAAATAACTGCTACCAAATATTATTAAATAAGCAAGCATGTATTTATTAATTTAAATCAAGATTATTAATTTTTCAATAGTATTTATTTACAAAACCTCAATAATCTATATACTTAATTCTCTGTCTAATTTTACGTCTAAATCTATATCCAAATCTGTCTAATTCTATATTTATTCAAATTTCCAATATCATACATTATACTATATATCATATATTAAATGAATATTTTCAATAAGAAACCTTTGCAATTTTATTACAAACCATGCATTTATTCAGTATAAACTTTATATCATATCTTAAACACTTCTATAATGATGTTACATATTAATAAATCATATAATAACATTATTTATATATTTCAATTTTTAAAAAATTTTATGCAAATACATTTAATAATATATATAAACTAATTTTTTTCTTCTACAATACCATAATTAAGCATTATTTTATCTTTTTTTTTTTGCACAATAAATAAGATTTTGTCAATGTAGTAGTAGTTAATTACTTATAACTTCAACTAGTGAAGCGCAATATGAAAGTTGTTGAATTGAATTATTAAGTTTATCATTTCTCTCTCTTGTAGATTTCTCGATCAAAATTCACAAAAAACAAAAACATAAAATAACATTAAAACACATAAGCAAACAGCACTTAGAGCACTTAAAGCACTTAGAGAAAAAATAGAGACTTATAAAATACAGTTAACCAAATTAAAAAACAAGAAATAAACCAGAATAGTAACAAGCAACAGCAAGAAAACAAAATTTTTGATGAAATTTAGTAAACAAAATTAACATATAGAAATAGAACAGAACAGATTAAATAAATCTATGCAGAGCTCTTAAAAAAAAAGTTTTAACATAAAGAAATACAAGTTTTTATTAATATACTAATATAGATATAGATTTTTTTAACAAAGTTTTCTGATTATTTTTAATTTGACTTAAAATTTTGAAAAAATTCTCTTTTGTTTGTAGAAAAGCAAAAAATTATTCTAAATCTTGAAAACAAATAATTAGAACATATAGTTAGCTAACAACATAAAATAATAACAAACATAGCATATTACATATACAATAATATTATCCTAATTAGAAAATAGTAAATAAAAATTTTACATATACTGCTAAACAAATGAATAAACAACAAACTAATATAAAAATAAAAGTACAATACAGACTAGGCCTTCTAGGTGACATAGAATTAATTTAACATATAAAAGATTTTGGTGATATAAATAGAAGATATATAGACAATAAAATATTAGATGAAATTTTATCTAAACAAATCTATAATTCAAGCAATTTAGAATATATAGTGAAAGATCTCGTAATTTACAATCCAAAAAATATTATAATAGATAATATAATTCTTTATAGTTAAATACTTAAAGTATTCAAAAGAGCAAAAACTTTTTTACTATCAAGAAGTACAATAGAAAAATAGATAAGTAAACTATTAACAATAAATCAAAACCCAAAATCATTTAACTATTTGTTGAATATGAAAAAAGAGAAATACTAAAAAAGAAAACAAAAATAGAAGAAATAGAAAGAGATAAAAATACTAAAGACATGGATATAGCTTATATTAAAAAAAAAAGACAACAATATGAAATTAATAGTAACAAAGAAGTCAATATAAACCTAAATATAGTCATTAGCCAAATGCAAAATCTCAGCATATAAACAGTATTATACCAAGAACCAATAAAATATCTAAATAAGGAGATAAAAAAGTTAACAATAATAGCAGATATAAACAAAAATAACACAAAAGAGAAGAGAATTAAAAAGAACCAAGAGAGTACATTAGATCTTTTATGGCAAAATAAAAAAGAAAAAATAAAAGATAAAAATAAAAAGAATACAGAATCAATAACTAAAGAAAATAATAAAACATCAATACTTATAAATATAATAAAACATAGTCAATAGTCTCTAACAAACTGTATATATGACAAAGCAGATCATTCAAAATAAATATGCCAACATATGTAATATCAGGTGTAAATAAAAAAGAAAGATTAAAATATATATAATAGATCCTTCATAGCAATTATTATATTAAAACAATTAAAAAAGTTTTTAAAAATAGAAACAGCTAGAATGAGGTAAATTTTAACTGTGAATTCAGTAGAGATACAGCAATAGATAGAATCAAAAAAAAAAAAAAACTGACTAAAACTTATTTTAGAAAAAATAAAAAGCCAAGAAAAGAAACTAAGCTACCAAACAGTAAACAACAATAAAAGAAACAAGAATAAACCCAAAAAATACAAGAAAATCAGTAAAAAAAGAGATAATAGAAACATGTACCAAACAGAAGATAAATCAGAGTTATATATATATCTAATTATATGGAATTTACTAATAAATATCAATATAAAAAAAGTAAAATACATATGTAGAAGTCTTAAAAAAACTTACGAAAATGCATTAAAAGATCCATATATAAAGTCTTAGTTGTAGTTAGAACAAAAAGTATAAAAAAAGAAAACATATTATGGTCCTTACCAATTAGTATATACAGGTTGACAAGAATAATCATAGGTAAAGAAGAACTTGACTAATGTAATTCATGAAACTAATTTATAGCAAAAATATTAGAACTTCTAAATAATATATTAGAAATATTATTATTTGATGCTTGAAGAAAAGAAGAGCAAAATTAGTATATATTTCATTCAACAGAAATGGAAATTAGAGAAGATTGGTAATAGTAACATTTGCAATAAAGAAAGAAATAAGTATAACATAAACAAAGCCAATAAAATTTAACAATTACTTATTATTTTAGTCAAACTATATAGAAAAAAAAAGAAAAAGTAAAAGAAAAAGTGATACTGCAAGTTACAAAAGAATAGATTATAATAATAAAAACTCTGATAAAGAAATATACAAAAATAATTAAAAAAAAAAAAGTAAACAAAAAAACAATAAAAACAGAAATGATGACAAAAACAAAAAGTATTACAAAGAAAACTTAATAATCAAAAATTAGAAGCATAAGAAGACAAAAAAAGAAAAACAATCTAA